CCCATCAGACCAATGGAAGTGGGACCACACAGAAGCTAAGTATTGCACACCATGAAAATCTTCCCTACTTCCCAAGCCATCCACTCTGCTTCAACCGCAAACGCAGAGAACACACCAATCACACCCTTGGAAGTCGGCCGCTTTATCTGGCGCGAAGCGCCCTTGCTGGTGCACCACCTTATTAAAAACTTTTAAAAAGTGAAAAAAAATGCTTGGGACCACACACAAGGTAAAGTATTGCGCACATCGCAAATCTCCCTTCTCTCTATCTTTTACTAACTTATGCGATGACCCACGCAATTTGCTGTCTGAGAGTTCTGCACTTTTTCTGAGAAACTGCTGTCTTTTTCATCGGATTGTTAAGGTTTCCAAATCTGGGTCTGTTTTACTGTTCTTATGATCCAGCTCCACTTCAAATGCAAAACTCAATTTTGAGACAATGCAAGACTGCGCCACTCAAGAAGAAGTAAGAAGAGGCAAAGAGTGCAATAGAATGTAGAAGGATAGAAGACGACCAAGACGTCGTACGTACACAAGTTTTAACCAATATAATTCTTCTTCTTATTATTCTCCTCCTTCTCCTTTTCCTTCTCCTCCTCCTCCTTCTTCTCCTCCTCCTCCTCCTCCTCCAATTACTACTGCTACTACTACTACTACTACTACTACTACTACTACTACTACTACTACTACTACTACTACTACTACTACTGCGACGACGACGACGACGACGACGACGACGACGACGACGACGACGACGACGGCGACGACGACGACGACGTTTCTTCTTCCTCCTCCTACTCCCCTCTCCTTCATGCGTGCTTGCTGGATTTCTCCCTCAAACCGCCCTCCCTCCCTGCTTCCTCCCTCCCTCACTCTCTTCTTTCCTTTCACTTACTTTCTAACTCGTTAATTTTTTCATTCTGATTTATCCACGGATGTTGGGTTTGCCGGTCAATGAATCTTTCTGGTTGAGCTTAGAGGGGCCATGGGCTCACATGCAGCAGAGCTTGCATGCAAGCAGGGAAGGGGACGAGGATGGGGTTCAGATAATGTTAATGATCCTGTTCACCTTGAGTGGAGGCGCCGAGTAGATGTATGATATGAATGATCCAAAAATGGCAAGTCCAAGAATCGTTGGGAAATCATGCCCTGCCTGCAAACAGGAAAAAAGCAGATCAAGTCACCTGTCAACGGGGAGACGGGAGGGGGGTGGGGGGGGGGGGRGGGGGGGGGGGGGGTGGGGGGGGAGGGGGTTATTAAGCAGCAAAAACTTGAGTGTTCACAGTCATTTAAAAAGGCGCAGACCGATAAACACCAGTACCAGCTATTTCTGGGCAATGCAAAAACACCGTGCATTCAAAAAATCACAACCAGAATGATCCAGGGTATCATCAAATTGATGAGAATAGAGTTCAGCATGGTTCAGATGCCACCCAATAGGTACCCATACAACAGGGATCGGAACAGGAAGGAGGAAGAGCGCACCCAGAGATCCAGGCCGTATCCCACTGCTAGGCCCCCAAGAAGCAACACCCAAATCTGCGAAATGACCTGCATCCACACAGACACAGGCACAACACAACAGACAATGACTCCACGCATTACCCACTGGACTAACAGCACACCATTTACCAACAACATCAGACTGTGTTAGCCGAGTCCCTGATGTGCAGTAGCTACCCTGATCTAATTTAGTTGTGTACGCCTCTCTCTCTCTCTCTCTCTCTCTCTCTCTCTCTCTCTCTCTCTCTCTCTCTCTCTCTCTCTCTCTCTCTCTCTCCCCCCCCCCCCCTCCCTCCCCCCCCCCCCCCCCCCCCCCCCCCCCCCCCCCTCTCCAGGTGTCTTTTTGGTGCGCCCATCAAGACCGAGAGAGAGAGAGAGAAGACAAGGTTGAAGCGTAGATCAGGCCAGAGTGGTTCAGGTTTGATTCATCACTGTCTTTTTGGTGCAGTCATCAAGAGCGCAAGACAGAGAGAAGACAAGGTTGATGGGTAGATCAGGCCAAAGCAGCGCAGCCTAAGTGTTAGCTGAGTGCCTCGAGTACATCAGGTATGGCATAGGAAGGAGATAATTCTCTGACTAACGTGTCAATCCTGCAACTCCTACGCAACACTTTTTCGCTCTCTCATAGAATGGCGATATTGGGGGGAATGGGCAAAATATACGTGTTCAGGAGCGCTCTTCAAGTACTGTGCTGGGTTTCCTTTAAAAAATTCCTAAATTTCCTTTCAGTCCCCCGAATCTTATTCAATGTTTTGTTTACCAAACTTGCAATTGGAATGCTACTTTTGGTGTTGTTAAGTGCGGAGTTGGGAAACTGTTAGTCCGATGAACGCCATTCATCTTGAAATTTTGGCTTTGCTGTGCACCCTATTCTTTTAACTTCTATGTGAGCTGAAATCATCTTGCCCTCTGCAGCAAAGCACCCTTTTCGACAATCTCGCTATGTCTGGTACTTGGAGAAAATCACAGAAAAAAAATTGAGAAAATCGCATAACATTTACAGAAAACCGCAGAAAATTTCAAAATTGTAGGAGTAACATCTAAGTTGATCTAACTCAGGCCGAAGCACCTCCCCACCGAGCCGGCCTTTTTCAACTGCTGATGTGAGGTGGTCTACTTACAAACATAATGAAAGTAATGAAATAATTATCATTAAATTATGAAACTATTAACTAATAAATAGTTTTTGAATTTTTTTTCAGAAAGCTGCACCTGTTATGCAGCCTCAAGATTCTGATGGATCCCAGATAAGTAAATGAAAAATTGAACCACTAGTCCCTCCTCGCCTCTTCCTCCATATATATATATATATATATATATATCGTCACAAACAGAACTGCCCGGTAAAACCATAGGCAGAGAGAGAGAAGAGGACAACAAACGAGGGGCTGTGACAAACTGTTTCGTCGGAGTTATATATATATATATATATGTATATATATATATATATATATATATATATATGTCCTCTTCTCCCTCTCTGCCTACGGTTTACCGGGCAGTTCTATTTGACGATATATACATATATATTTTTTGCCTGGCACCGCCTTCCTTTTTGGTCCAGTAGGCCGAGGCCCTGTTTGACACCGTGCGTTAACCGCGATGTCGTTCAACATAGCCCACAAAGGGACTGCTGGTTTAAATGGAGGAAAAGGTGTGTTCCCCGATTTGATATTGCCCATGTATGGCCTTTGGGACATCGGGTAACACTTAAAATTGGAACAACAGAGAGAATGAACGTTAGCGTGGCCACTACGCAAGGATGACACGCATAAATCGAGAAATGGTCCATACAAAGAAAGAAAAAGATATTGCTCATGCATCCCACACTACACTACCAGTCTTACCTCACTTGATGAAATAGCACCTGAAGGAATTGGCCGATAGGGTTCATTTATGGCATCAATTTCACGATCATACCAGTCATTCATTGTCTGCACAAGGAAACAGAAAACAAAAGAATACGGCTAATGTGAGATCTGCATTTTTTATTTGGCCTTTGTATCTGAACAAGCTGATGCCCGCTTCGGCTACGCCCGCGGCACAGCGACACCCACAGCACAGTGTGCACATATGACAACTCCACCTCCTCCTCCTCTGCATTGTCCGTCCTCCTGACAGTCAGTATCCACCTCTGCCTCGTCTTGCCCGGCTCCTCCTTACCCTCCGCCACCTCCCCCTTCCTCCCTTCTCCACCCCC